ATGAGCAGCATCATTAGAAGCAAGTGCAAAGGCCCTGAGATGGTAACAAACTTCTGTTCAAAGAACACAGCCGCCCATATGACTATGGAATTGTGTCCCAGGTTTTTCCTTCACTGTCACTTCATTTCTTTTTTTTTTTTTTTTCATTTATTTTTATTAGTTGGAGGCTAATTACTTTACAATATTGTAGTGGTTTTTACCATACATTGACATAAATCAGCCACGGATTTACATGTGTTCCCCATCCCAGTCCCCCCTCCCACCTCCCTCCCCACCCCATCCTTCTGGGTCTTCCCAGTGCACCAGCCCTGAGCACTTGTCTCATATATCCAACCTGGGCTGGTGATCTATTTCAACCTTGATAGTATACTTTTCAACTTCATTTCTTCAGTGTATTTTGCCTTGGCTCTTCAGAGGCATTCAAAAACAATTTTCCAGATAAGGAACAAGGAAACTGCATAGCACATGAAATCATAGCCATTATCTTATAATAACTTTAAATGGAGTATAAACTATAAAAGTGCTTCCCTGGTGATTCAGCAGTAAAGAATTTGCCTGCCTGTGAAGGATTTGTAGATTTGATCCCTGGGTTTGGAAGATCCCCTGGAGAAGGAAATGGCAACCCACTCAAGCATTCTTGCCTGAAAAATACCATGGACAAAGGAGCCTGGCAAGCTAAGGTCTGCAGGGTCACAAAGAGCCAGATACAACTTAGCAACTAAACAACAGCAACAAAAAACTATAAAAATGCTTAAGCACTGTGATGTTCACCTGAAACTAACAGAATATTATGAGTAAACTATATCTCAATAAAAAATAATAAAAGTAAACTTCTATCATTTTATTAATGTAAGCATAGAGTTCTCTTTGGAAATCCTCCCAGATTTAACTGACCAGGTTAAATTTCCTTTTACAAGCCCTTGCGTCCTGTGCACCTCACTAACACAACTTGTTTTCTGCCTGTGTGCCCACTAAACACTGAAAACTCCATGAGGGTAGTGGCCACCCTATATGCTGCTACTCACCATTTTATCACCAGCCCCTGTTCAATGTTTAGCACTGACCAGGTATTCAATAAATGTTTTAATGATAATTAGTTAATCTATCTTCTCATGACAAGCATTCCAAAAATTGCTTGTAATTGCTGCCTAGACTCCAGTTATCATTCTGATGCTCTCTGGTGTCTACCCCTAACCAAAAAAAAAAAAAAAAAAATTAAAAACACGCCTTGTTTTTGTTGGTCGCTCAGTAGCATACAACTCTTTGCAACCCTATGGACTGCAGCACGCCAGACTGCCTGGTCCTCAACCATCTCCCAAAGTATACTCAAACTTATGTCCACTGAGTTGACAATCCTATGTCACCCCCTTCTCCTCCCACCCTCAATATTTTCCAGCATCAGGGTCTTTACCAACAAGTCAGTTCTTCACATCAGGTGGCCAAAGTATTGAAGCTTCAGCATCAGTCCTTCCAATGAATATTCAGGACTGACTTCCTTTAGGATAAACTGGTTGGATCTCCTTGCTGCCCAAGGAACTCTCAAGAATATTCTCCAACACCACAGTTCGAAAGCATCAATTCTTTGGCACTCAGCCTTCTTTATGGTCCAACTCTTACCTCCATACATGACTTCTCAAAAAAACCACAGCTTTGACTATATGGAGCTTTGTTGGCAAAGTGATATCTCTGCTTTTTAATATGCTGTCTAGGTTTGTTATAGCTTTTTGTCCAAGGAACAAGTATCCTTTCATTTCATGGTTGCAATCACCATCCTCAGTGATTTTGGAGCCCAAGAAAACAAAGTCTGTCACTGTTTCCATTTTTTCCCCATCTATTTGCCATGAAGTGACGGTACTGGATGCCATGATCTTAGTTTTTATAATGTTAAGTTTTAAGCCTGTAATTAGGAACCCTCTGCTCAGTCAATTGAAAAAGGCTACAAAGAGTGACTTGGGTTATGCTTTCACTGGTACAAATATTGGCTTACACTAAAAGAATCTGCATTCTGCCAGATGACTTGTTGGAGAAGGACTAGGTATAGCTGAACAGATGAGAGAGTAAGGCTGCCCTAAACCTCAATGTGAAGTTTCCAGCCCTAAACTTGGGCTCTCTTAATAGTTACACACCTATTTCTCACTTACTCTCTGATCATGAGCTTGTGCCTTCCTTTCTAGAGAGTACCTCCTTTATTCATAGGTAATCGAATGAAATACAAGGAATTACTTGGGGTTATAAAGAGTCAATATATGTTAGAGTGTCAGTACTTTGCCTAGCCCTGACCAGCTTTCATGGGCTACTGCATCAGCTTCCTAACTGTTCTCATTATTTACCCTCTTCTTCCATCATCAGCACATTTGAACTCAATGTCCTAGCTACCTGGAAGCTCCCAGATATCTGCATGAGGAGTATCTACTTATTATCATAGTCACCATCCATCCAATCCAATTTATGCACAGAATCCCTGTTCCTCCCTCACCAGGAGAACCTATCATTACCTAAGCACTAATCCATTTTCGGTTCCTTCATAGTTTTCAACACCATCCAAAATTAGTTATGTTATCTTATTTCATTGTAATATAAGCTTTAACATAGAAATCTGGTAAGTGAATGAATGTAAGTATACCCTTGTCATTTATAAAGTGTAAAGAGAGTGGAAAAATATCATCAGCTCCTTGAGAGCAGTGGTTTTGGACTGATTTGTTATACCTCCAGCACCAAACCTGCCCTGAGTGCCTGTTCTTCAAGGACTGCTGTTTTTCTATTCAAGTACTGATCACATCTCAGAGTAGTCCTGCAGAGGGTACAAGGTCCAGACCTGCTGGAATTTCTGTGGTAAAAAGCTACCAGCACCATCCAACAGAATAGGATTTGGAGGACCTCAGAGAATCCAACATGCAACGTTGGAAAACCTGGTATTGTGGCTAAGGTGCATAGCAGGAACAGGGAATATGGACCCGCTAGTGTTTCACTCTCAAAGAGCTGACAGTTTTATGACTAAGACAAGAATAATATACATTTAAGATGAAAATAGAAATTAAGATGGCTAGGGCCATATCTAACACAGAAAGGGCAGCAGGAGGTGTGAGCGAGAGAGAGGAGGGGTTGTGGAAGGGGGGGAAGGGGGCTGCTGGGCGCCTGCGCCAGCGGCCAGCATCCACAGCGGCAGGTCCAGTGCTCCAACGGCAGAACATGTGGGGCAAAAAGAAGTTACCTGAAGAGCCACAGGCCTGAGGCCAGGGTATACAGCCAAGGTAAGCGGCCTGCTTGACTCCGTCTCACTAGTCCTGGAGAAGCTACTGGAGAATCAGCACCCATCACCCCCACCACCACCACCGTGAGGCACGTCCCAATAAAGACGAGTGGAAGGAAAACCTGGAAGAATGGCTGAGACAGCCAGCACCATGGCCATCTCAGCCTCCCTCACGTGGCGTGTCTGTGACCAGCCCTTGCCAGGTGACCGCAACATAATCTACCTGCAGTATGTGGCCCCGGACGGGTTCCTGCTGGAGAAGGGCCTCCCCAGACCTCAGCCACCTGGCTGAGAACCTGCCGCTGCCCGTGGCCGAGGTTGAAGGGAAGGAGTCTCTTCCAGGGCGTCCCCGCTGGTCCTCCGTCGCCCTCTTCGCCCTCAGAAACCTGTCCAGCCAAGGTTGGTGCTGCGTCCTTGGGCAGGACCACCTCCTGTTACCAAGATGCAAGTCCGTGTGCCCAACACACAGTAAAGTCAAGCAATACTCAAACGTAGGAGTTTGGAACAGAGCAAGACTGATTACAGGTTCATGCAAGTGTGAGGCGAGCAGAAGTAATGCCATGGCAGGCAGTTTAGATTAGGAGTAGGCCTTCCTACTTCTGGGTGGTAAGATTATCAGGCCACCTGGATACAACCAATCAGCTTAACACTGACCGCTGTTTGCCAATTAGGAACGGGGCGGAAACCCCCGGGAAAGTCCCGTGCGCGCAAGAGTTTTGACCAACCGCTTAAACCAACTACCAACGGGGTGTGCTCACCCTATAAATTTGTGTAACAGCTTGGGCTCGGGGCTCTCTGATCCCGCACCACTGCATTGGATGCGGCAGGAGCCCTGACTCGAGTCAGCAATAAAACTTCCCTTTTTGCTAGTTGCGTTGTCTTGGAGGCCTTCTCTCTTCCCGCTCGGGGATTCGGACATCAGGCATAACAGTAAGGGTGTGAGAGGTTTATGCCCCAAAACCCCATAGTCACTGAAAGCTTTCAGCGCTGCCCTTTGATAGGCAAAGTGAGGGAGGGGCGTGGCTAGCTGTTGCAAACTTCTTGATGTCAGATCCTTGTTTCTGAAGTCAGGTTAAGGCCAGGCAATGATGTCACTGTAAATCTCTATGACATGAATGCTATTCTCTCTTCTGACAAGGAAGGGCCCAACTTTCACCCTCCAATGTCCTGGTCCTGGCGAAGAGGAGGCAGATCTCAGCTGACAGTTCCTTCAGGCCCAGGTCCTCAGACCCCACCCAACTGTCATCGCTGAGGGAGCCGGGGGCTCAACCCGACTGGCCCTCTGGCTCCTCAGGCCGCCCAAAGCGGTGGAGGTCGGCTTCTGCAGACCGTGACACAGGCAGGATGCCTTGCTATTAGGTCACAGAGACAGGGCTGGAGGAGAGGGTTCACCTCTTCCTCAGGCCTGGGACTGGCTAGTGAGTGGCCTGGTGAGGGCTCTGGAGCCACACTGTAACAGAGGGCAGTGAGCGCAGCCCTCAGCAAGGCAGCCATCGCTGTGGTCATTATCCTCAGCCTGTTCCCAAGCGAGCGGGTCCTGCTCAGCCACTGACGGCGCAGCGGAGGGCCCCGCCCACAAGCAGCCCACGGTTCGGAAAGGACAGTGAAGGGACTGAGACTGTGGAGTGGGAGTCGCGAGGAGGGCAGTGAGGTGAGGGGCGGAGCCTGGCGTTCTCCCCAGGCGAGGCTGGAAATGAGGTGAGGGGCGGAGCCTGGCGTTCTCCCCAGGCGAGGCTGGCTGTGAGGTGAGGGGCGGAGCCTGGTGTTCTCCCCAGGCGAGGCGTGGAATGAGGTGAGGGGCGGAGCCTGGCATTCTCCCCAGGTGAGGCGGGCATTGTGGGTAGGGGAGGAGCCTGGCATCCTCCCCAAGGCCCTCCAGATCACCTGGCCTTAGGCACGGCGGTTAGCCGGGGGCCCAGAGGACAGGCTGGGAGCTGTGTTCTGTAGGGCATCAGAGGCCTCACCGAGGCCACTCTCCAGCCTTGACCCAGGCCTCGAGGAAGCGGTGAACCTCTCCCTGATCATGGCCGCGGCACCTGATTAACAGTGGCAGTCTGCCTGTGTCCCGTCTGTGGTCTCTTCGTTGGGGTGGCCTGAGAAGCCTGAGGGCCAGTTGGGTTGGGCCCCTGGTTCCCTCAGCAATGACAGCTGGGCAGAGTCTGGGGACCTGGCCCTGAGGGAACTGCCAACAGAGATCTGCCTCCTCTTCGCCAGGACTGGGACATTGGAGGGTGAAATTGTGCCTTGGGATGTTACCCTTTCTGGGCAGGACAAAGCATAAAATTCATTTGGTAGAGACTTACAGAAACATCGTTTCCTAGCCATGACCTGACTTCAAGAACAAAGGATCTGACATCAACAAGTTTGCAACAACTAACCACATCCCTCCTTCACCTCTTGCTCTTAAAGGGCTTTGCTGAAAGCTTTCAGAAACTTTGGAGTTCTTAGGGCATGAGCCACCTGTCTCTGCATGGTCCTGTAATCAACCTTTCTCTTTTCGAAATTCCAATGGTTTAATATTGTCTGGCCTCACTGTGGCTTGAGCACATGAACTTGTGTTTTTGGTAACACTACAGGACAGAGCCCCCAGCCTGTTCTCTGGACCCCTCAACTCACCTGCTGGCCCAAGGCCAGGTGAGCTGTAGGGCCTTGTGAAGAAGGCCAGGATCAGCCTCTTCCCTCACTTGATCCCTCATTACCATGATTCCACTGTTGTCTGAATCCTCTCACTGTCATTTCTTGGCCCTTGGTTGCTTGTGGGCAGGACCTACTATGGCACCAACCAATGGCTCAGCAGAATCAGGAAACCTGTCCATTCGAGGCTGGTGCCTGGTCTTTGGGCAGAACCACCTCCCTCATGAGAAAATCCATTGCTCAAGGTGGGCTGCTAGTGACCACACACCCAGTGAGGCCCCATCTCCCGGGGGAGGTCCTAGTGGGCCAGCAGTGGAGAGAAACCTGGCCCAAACCCTTCAGCACAGCATGCCCCTCCAAAGTGGGGACCCCAGCATATGTCAGGGAAGCAGCAGTCGGAGACTTGATGTTGGTTACTGTGCTGCAGGTGGTCAGGACAGTACAGTGAACGGTGATTTCCTGAGGGCTTCTTTACCTCCAGTGTACTTTGACTCTAATTACTTGGAAGCTTAGGCAACAATAATAATAATGCCAGTTGACATTTATTCTGTGCCAGGCATAAACACATAATCCTCACGAAATTCGATACTCTTATCCCTATTTTATAGGCAAGGAAACAGAAGCGCAGAGAAGTTAAGTAACTTGTCCAAGGCAATGGAGGCAGTACTAAAACCATGATGTCTATCTCCATAGCCAAGTACTGCTTCAGTTCAGTTCAGTTCAGCTCAGTTGCTCAGTCATGTCTGACTCTTTGTGACCTCACAAATTGCAGCACACCACGCCTCCTTGGCCATCACCAACTCCCAGAGTTTACTCAAACGCATGTCCATCGAGTCGGTGATGCCATCCAGCCATCTCATCCTCTTTTGTCCCCTTCTCCACCTGCCCCCAATCCCTCTTGGCATCAGGTCTTTTCCAATGAGTCAACTCTTCGCATGAGGTGGCCAAAGTATTGGAGTTTCAGCTTCAGCATCAGTCCTTCCAATGAACACCCAGGACTGATCTCCTTTAGGATGGACTGGTTGGGTCTCCTTGCAGTCCAAAGGACTCTCAAGAGTCTTCTCCAACACCACAGTTCAAAAGCATCAATTCTTTGGTGCTCAGCTTTCTTCACAGTACTGCTTAGTGTCTACTAAAAAATTCCACAAGATGAGAATTGTGAGTTAAGTATTAGGGCACAATGAGGACTATAGCGCAGGAGACAGCATTTCACATAGCTCTGAGAAACTGTTCCAAGGAGGTGGGGGTAGGAGGAGGTCAATATACATGTGATTTTGATGAAGGGAGAAGACATGAAATCAAGAACATACTTTTTGCAGACGTTTGCTGCCAGTTACCAGAAGCAAATATCACCATAAAGGATTTTTTGTTTTCTTCTAGCTAAGTAAGAGGAAATGTAGGAATTGGGGTCATAAAATCCTCTTCTGAAGATATTGGAATCCTGTTTTGTCAGTTTTTCCCAGGGCACAGAGCTCCTCATTCCTGATATCCGTGCTGAGCTCCGTCCAGGTTTGCGGAAGGTCAGCAGCTCCAGTGGCTCATAATTTTACACCTGCAGAGTCGACGGCAAGTGCTAATTTGTAGGTGACGTTTGCCACTGGCACGGAGAAAACTTTCTGTAGCCCAGCCAGGACAAATGTCATATTTAAATTTCCTCCATCACACTCTATTCCTTTTCCTGTTTTACCTTAGAGTGGATGCGGTGTACATTTATTTGTTTTCACACCTCTTAGATATGAACCCACTACCAGAAACATGGCCCACTTTTCAGAGGGGTCTGCTAAGCTTTCTACAGGTTAGTTAGAAACATACAGGCTGAGGCTTTTGGAAGGATCCCTGGAGCTGGTACGGAATGTAGGAATAATTCAGGAACCTCCAAAGGATTGTCATGCTCTGCTTTTGTTTAAATCCTATTCTAGAAAATTTTACAAATGCAAAATGTCTTCTACAATGAACTTCCAGGTAACTATTACTTAGCTTCCATAATTCTTAACTGATAACCAATCTTGTTTTCTGTAACATTTTCCATTCCCCACATCTGATTAGTTTCAATCAGTTCTTAGATATTATATAATTTCATCCAGAAATATTTCAATATGAACATAAAATATATGGATTATTCTTAAAAACATATCAAAAATATCATTTCACATATCTGAAATGGACATCAACATTCAAATGTTAAAAAGAAGCAGAAAAAAAATAAAGACAGCAATAATTAAGACTGACTCTAGCGAGTCAGTGTGGTCTTTCAGAATAAGAAAGCCCTGGCAACAATGCCTGCTGGACTTTGGCCACTGTGCCTTGAACTTCTCATGTGGTAAACTAAATGAAAGTGTTAGAATGGTAAGTTTTCACCTACCTCTGATAAAGTTCACCTACCTCACTAAAAGTTTTCATAGTGAGATGGACTATCTTGTACCTATGAGTCTGAGTACCATTTTAATGTACCCTCAAAATTTCTATTAATATCTTTGATAGCATTTCATCTATCTCCTCTACCAGAATGTACACTTATTGACCATCAAGAACTTACCTCTTATTCACTGTCAGATCCTCAGTTCCTGGTGGAAAAATTATAAAGAATCTTGTGTGCTGAGCAAAGGAGTTCGAATTTTATCCTAAAAGAATGAGGAGTCAGGGAAGGAATTCAATGAGAGAAGAAAGGTCACCAGAAGTGTCTTTAAGAAAGATAAGATTTGTGGAAGGTGAGAATAGCAAGTGGGAAGTCAATTAGGAAGTTACTTTTATGATCCTGAGCCTAGGAGGCAAAGACATGAACTAAGGCAATAAATGGTCTTCCAGGTGGCTCAGCGGTAAAGAATCCACCTGCCAAACAGCAGAGGCAGATTCAGTCCCTGGGTTGGGAAGATCTCCTGGAGAAGGAAATGGCAACGAGCTCCAGTATCCTTAACCAGAAAATCCCTTGTACAGAGGAGCCTGTCAGGCTATAGTCCATGGGGTCACAAAGAGTCAGAAACAACTGAGCAATTAAATAACAACAGCATCCTTAAACCCACAAAACCTAAACTCTGAAGTCTCCAAGAGGTTCAGTAATGCCCATATTCACTAGGTTAATGGGAGATACCACCAAGCTTTAGACATAGACAGAATGACTCAGAGTTCATGCTTCAAAAACTACTGTGCCATACAGCCTATTACCTTGCTCATCCTCTTAGGAGAAAAAAAAAAGAAAGAAGACAGTCATTTAATACTGGGAAATCACCAAATGTAAGAGGCAATAAAATATGAATTTATAACAGCATTTCATTGTTTAGCCAGTGATAGCCAGAGTCCCTGCTAGGGCATCTACTCCCTGGTGGTGAAAGGATTGGAATTCTGCAGAATCACTCAGCAACTGAGCTCAAGAATATATAAAGTGTTCTCTAAAATCATGATCTAGAGCTATAGGGTAACATCTGTGAGCTTTCTTTTAATGCCCACTGCAGGGTTAATGTTACAGCATAAGTAGAAATGAATAAATGGCCTTAAGCACAAACCAGTCAAACAGGTCTTCAAGAGTTAAACAACCTTGGTTATTCTTTAGTTGTTACTACTGACAAACACTTGTAACTATTTGTCTTTCACAAATCTGATTATTCTGACTCCACATGAATTTTGCTCAGCACTTGGCATTCTTCTCCCCCTACACTCCCTCATGGTTCAAAAAGGAGTTCATGAACTGATAACCCCAGAGACACCAGACCCAGATACTCAGGTGCCTGACTCCAGCTTTGGCCATAAATGTAGCAGAAGAAAAAAATAATGCAAGACCTTCACCACTCTGATCCTTTTCAGCTACCCCAAACCCTAAATCCTAACTGTAAAACCTCTCCCTGTTTCCCAGGGAGGAGGGCACAGTTATTGAGTCCCTAACCTGCTGTGTTCCTTCTTTGCCTGGCAAAGTCTTTCTCTTTTCTCCAAAACTCTGTCTCCATATTTCTATTCAGCATCAGTGTATAAAAAGCCAAGACTTTGTCAACATTAATAAAGTATGGCAGGAAGTTAATCATGTTAATCAATTGAGGTTTGTGAATGTCTCTGATGATGATAAGGACAGACCATAGGTTAGGAACCTGGCTGTATAAATCCCCAAGAGTCCTTTAGGTATATGGTAATGAGGAAAACTGCATCAAGGGAAGAAGAAAGAGGGGCATCCAGATTTGGAGAAGTCTTCCAAAAAGAATAATTCTGATAATCCTTTTCATGGCAATGCCCCTAGGGTTCCAAAGGCATATGCATGTAGATTCCTCACTTGTTCTTCCAACACTGCGGAGGCAGCCATGTGCAGTGTCATTACCTCTACTGTTCAAACGGTTTAAAGTGAAAAATCCAGTATGCAAAGCCAGATTTTCAAAGTCCAAGATTAGCTCCTGGTTGAAACAGACGGTTCCCAAACTTATGGTAAACAAATGCAAAGTCCCTAAAGGACAGAAACTTGAAAAAAAAAAAATTTTAATGGTCTCAGCTGGGAAGTTCAATTCTGTACACTTAACTCAGTCCCCAGTAACTGAGATTCTCATAAAAATGGCTCTTAATCCCACAGCCCTCAAAAATACACCCCCCCCCAATTTGCAGCAGAAGCAAAATATCACCTTGCCACAAGTGTAGAAAGGGATATTCTAACATTAAATAAGATTTTCTAAAAAAATAACTACTGTCATATTTTTTCTAAGAAGACACTTGCTTTAGTGTCTGGAAGGAAAATCCAAGCCTATATGTCAGAAAAACACACCAGGAATTTTATCTCTGACTCTTTGCAGGATCCAGAAGAATCCTCTTCCAGAAAAATCAGGAGTTAAAATTAGTAGCAGGATTTGCTGATGGGTGAGTTGGGAATACTTTGAACATCAGTATTTAAAACAATGCCTCGGATATTGTCAATGTTCCATGAAAGTTTTGTGACTGAGATAATCCATCTTAATTACGTTAACACTTTGGAAAAGGGGGAAGTCAGGTCTAGAATCAAAATTTACTTGAGAATATCTATGAGTAGAATGGTGGTTTCCATGGGCCAGAGCATGGAGGAAATGTTGGTCACAGAGCACAACTTCCAGTTATAAGAGGAATGAGTTCTGACAATCTAATGAGCAGCATAGTGACTACAGTTAACACTTCCGTGTCCTGTACTTGAAAGTTGTTGTGAAAGTAGATTTTACCTTTATTTCTTTTTTTTCCCATTTATTTTTATTAGTTGGAGGCTAATTACTTTACAATATTATAGTGGTTTTTGTCATACATTGACATGAATCAGCCATGGATTTACATGTATTCCCCATCCCGACCCCCCACTCCCACCTCCCTCTCTACCCGATCCCTCTGGGTCTTCCCAGTGTACCAGGTCCGAGCACTTGTCTCATGCATCCAACCTGGGCTGGTGATCTGTTTCACCCTAGATAATATACATGTTTCGATGCTGTTCTCTTGAAACATCCCACCCTCGCCTTCTCCCACAGAGTCCACAAGTCTGTTCTATACATCTGAGTCTCTTTTTCTGTTTTGCATATAGGGTTATCGTTACCATCTTTCTAAATTCCATATATATGTGTTAGTATACTGTAATGGTCTTTATCTTTCTGGCTTACTTCGCTCTGTATAATGGGCTCCAGTTTCA